AAGCACTCTGAGACACAAAACACATCAGGTAATTCTAAATTTCGGGAATGCCAAGTTTATTTGAATACCCAGTTTTATTCCAGCAAAATTTTAATTTTTTGTGAATGTGAAGTGTGAAATAATGCACATTTAAGGATTAAATTCTGAAATTTTGGGCCACCAAATGTCTATGTGCATGTACATGTACATTTCATTCTTTGATTTGTTCACAACAAATACTCTTATAAAACTATACACATTCATGTACACCTATGCCATCTTCATTTTACTGTGTGTCTATGCACAGTTAAGTATTAATTCTGACCCTCTCCTTCCCTCCCCCTCTCTCTCTCAAGGGGTCCAGTACCTCCAGTAGTGATGAGGACTCAGACGAGGCTCGATTCAAGCGTCGTAAGAAGAGAAGCATGAAGAGGTCCCGCTCCGAGTGCCTCCCAATGAACTTCACACAAGACGACATCACAACAGGACCAACAAGAGACAGAGTAGCCATTGGAGCTAGTCTAGCTGACATCAACCCAATGACTATTGATAGGGACACTAACTTTAATAGCATTGGGGGACTGACTGGACATATTAGGTCACTGAAGGAGATGATTGTGTTTCCTCTTCTCTATCCAGAGGTGTTTGAGACATTTCATATATCACCTCCTCGTGGAGTTCTGTTTCACGGACCACCTGGTAACCATACATGTACATGTGTCATGTGTACATGTACCTAACCATGCATCTGTATACATCTTCATGCATGTACATGTAAGAGGGATCAGGGCTATGTTACATGTATCTATTTCTATTCGGAGTATTAAGGCTGGTTCTCAATATGACGCATGTACGGCCAGAAGTGCTATATAAACCAATGGGAGCATGCGTCAATGAGAATTAGCCCACCTTCAGTTTCTGAGAAATGAAATTTTAAAGGTGTACATTTTACATGTACGCGTGAACACTTTTAGTTTGAAAGTGCTAACTCAGATGCAAGGGTTTCCCCAGAATTTTGGCATAGGTGCTCATTTACAGCTTGTAGTGATACATACGTGTATGTGTACATGCATGTGCATGACATGTACATGTACACATACATACCATGTACATGTCTTAATGCTGTTTATCAACTTTGAGCTGATTTTGATCCAATTTGAATTTTTATGACTTTAAAAGTTGCTCTACATGTCATCATTATACTGTATTGTAGTGCTTATCAGCTCATGAATCATGCTGTTTAGCTCACTTAGAATGCTTTGAGGGAATTAAACTGTAAATTTCTAAGCTGAACTTTAAAGTTAATGTTTTGTGCTTTAGCTAATTTTTACTTACGTACATGTACGTGTACATGAAAGTTTATAAATAATGAAGTCTTTAAGGTGTACAGTCAAACCTCTCTAAAACGAGCCCCCAATTAGCGGACACCTCTCTATAACGTACAGTTGCTCTTGTCCCAGCCATAAGGCCATTGGGTAGTGTATAAAAGAACCTCTGTATAGCGGAGCCTCTCTATTCTGTATAACGGACGAGATTTACTGTCCCCACACATCTACATGTGTACAAATTAACCTCCAATGGACAAACACGGCCCACACAACAGACTTTCTAATTAACGCGCATCAAGAAAATGGCGGATTTTCTGGTCTGATTAGCATGGCATAACCTCCGATTTAAAGACACCTCCATATTTGGTAATAAAGGACAGTGATGGCTGGCCCATAGGTGTTCGTCTTAGAGAGGTTTGACTGTACATGTACATTCACAGTCACAGTCATACACATGTACATGTACATTGTATACTGTATGCCTATACTGGTCTTATAGACATACTAATAACTGATACATGTACATGTATATTATTAGGTTGTGGTAAGACACTAGTGGCTAGAGCATTAGCTAACGAGTGCTCCAAGGAAGGACGTAAGGTGGCCTTCTTCATGAGAAAAGGAGCCGACTGCCTGAGCAAATGGGTTGGAGAGAGTGAAAGACAACTGAGACTCCTTTTTGATCAAGTAAGAGGATCCAA